CCCCCCCCCCCCACAATGGCCCTTTTTGGGGGGTGGGGGTCAGTGGAGGGGATTAAGAGATGGGGAATAGAGGGAATCCGAATAGGAACCTCTGACCGCTTCGGCCGGGGCCGAGGCGAATTACATCATCGCTCAGACCGAGTTTGCACCGAGGTCACGAATGCGGACAAGGGAGTTATCGACGTGGAGTCGATGCACAGGCGCATTGAGAAGGCAATCAAGCGCATGCTGGAACCTGTGCTTGCTTGTTCGTCAAACAACCAGAACGTCAGGCGGTGCAAAGAGGCAACCAAGTGCTCGCGAGCGGGGCCATGCTGTTCCAGCAAAAGGCAGAGATGATCCTGCCTAAGCAACACTTTGTTCAGCGCGCATTCCATTTTGCAATGATCCACGTCCCACGGGTCTCTTGACGGCTTTGGCCGAGGTTTCCGGGAAGCAGCTTCGTAGTTGGCTTCGACACCTACAGGCAAGCAGTGTTGAGCCCCAAGGTTGACAGCTGCCAGGAAGAGCTGGAAGAATTATTGTTCCGGCAACATGAGCAGAAAGGGTAAACAGTTCTTCTGTGACTGCACAGTAGGCTGTTCTGTTTTTGGAGGCGGTCGCGGCGCATGTAGGCCCCCGAGCAGATCCATACAGCTGAGCGACTGGGAGCGTTGCACGACTGCCATGCTCGATCCGCTTCCTGGAGACGCAGTCCTATGCCCAACATCATCGGCAGCACTGAGGACTCGTATTCTGCTGCCACCGGCCTCGTAGCGTGGAACCTTTTTGACCGCAAGGGGCATTGGGCACAGAACCATCAGCTCCATGATCATGTTCACCACTTCCCTCCGCTCGAGGGCGTTTTGACTCTGGGGTCCATGATGTGCTTCTAGGTTTCCTGGTCCCACTGCATCCCGAAGATCCTGGTAGCTTCCTCGTTCATCCACCCACCCCAGCTTGATCGCCGCGGCTTTCTTGTCCGGGGCTGCCAGCATCTGCTCGAACCTGGCCGCCACCGTGGAGTCTGATACCGCGTGGTTGTCATGTTGCCCTGCACACCGGTCCTTGCAGTGTCCAGCGGAAGGCTGCCCAATGCTGCCCATCTGCTTGTCCTGGCGGAGGCTCAATGAACCTGATCTTTGCCCGATGCCCCCCATGAAGTCCCGGATGGACGACCCGGCTGGCGCGGATTTCGGCCTTTTCCTCGTCCTCCTTGCCCCTTGTTGCGAAACGCCTCCCCGCGATAGCGGCACGGACAGGAGATCCCCAAATGGCTCGGCATGACATATCGTACACACTTGTCAAGAAGGTCGCTCGCCTCTGGGTGCTTTGCGAGCTGTTTGCGAGCATGTGACGTCTGACATATTTGCCGGCGTTGTGCTCAGTGGTGGCATTCAATGTATACATACATACATGCATACATACATACGTACATACATACATACATACATACATACCCACATACATACACACATACATACACACATACATAAATGAATGGCATGCATGCATGCATGCATGCCCATATCACATGCATGCGTGCAGGCTTCCAGGCTTACGTGAGTGCATGCACAGTTCCATGCTTGCATGCCTGCATGCCTGCATACATGCGTACATGCATGCGCGCAGACATACATATATGCATATGCACATGCATACACAAAGGCATTCGTACACATATACATAGATACTTGCATAGAGGCATAGACGTATATAGACGTATACACAAATAGTGGAAGCGTGCGGAAGGCGTGCAGTACACCGCAGTCCGGAGATCACTCCAAGATCGCCAAGATTACCCGATGATCATTCCGTTTTGGAAAACTCCGAAACCCCTCATGAAGGTAGTGAGGTCCTGATGTGTGGCCGGCCCTCCCTTCACAGCCTTCGGCTTCGGGCGGTTTGAGTCAAAAATGCGAGCGGCGAAAAGGTTTGCTGTACCGGGAGCAAGACGTGCACGCCAACATACACCGGGCATGGTGGTAGAGCGCGATTGGTGCGAAAGCTTTGGGATTTTGATGGAGACTATGCACTGCACCACACAGTGCGAGTTCTGCAGTTTTCCGTGGTCTCGCGACATCAGCAGTTAACCAACTCTTTTCATCCTGATAAGTCCTGCTGATTTTTGGGAGGTATTGACAATTGGGTATAATTGGGTCATTCGGGCCCTGTGGGATGGCTTTGTGTCGAGTGTGTAACAGGTCGAACTTTCGATGGTAGTCACCGGAATTGGAAGGCGCATACTCGATGCGAAGTACTACGCTCCAGCAGGCCGGGAACATCGGCAGCCCAATCGTTTGGCAGTCTTTATGTAGTGTTGATGCTGGGGCGGCCGAGGCTGCTTGGATGGAAGCTCTCCCGTCCAGCAACGTCCTGACCGTTTTAGATCTATGAGACTGTTTAGTCAAGCAGTTCAACAAGTTGTAGTTTATAGTGTTGCCGCAGACTGTTGGTCGAGCCGCCGCATAATTTTCCACAAGATGCGTCTTTGTCGAAGGCGACCCGTGCCCTCCACCACGCTAGATGGATGACCGAAGGATGCAAGTGCGCTATATACTTCTCAGGTTCTTACTGCTAGGAACTTCGCTGCACACGATGAACTTCTAAACATACTGCCAGTCGTCGGGTCAAGGCAACGAGAATGGACTTTGAATGCCTTGCGGCAGCTGCACAGTCCATGCCCAGGACTACAGTGTAAACACGCCATCCTTCACATGTCATCAGCCTGAACTTATTGCTTCGACGTATCAAGGCTGCCGAGTACAGTTCGTAGTTGCTGGTCGCCTGGATCTCGAGCGCGGCATCTTACGATCTTGCTCGTGATTGACAATGCCAAGCCGAGGCATGGATAGTGGCGACTTCAAGACGATAGTCACGCATCCGATCATGGACCTGCCGCAGGACTGTGCCAAAGCCAGAGTCGGCTATTACTGCTATGGCTTCCATGACCGTGCTGGAACCTGATCACGAGGCTACGTCAGTCTTTCGTCATGAGCCGGCAGTGAAGTGTGCATGCCAGCTGCAGTGCAAAGTAATCTCCAGAGGCGGGGCGGCCATGGGTTAGCATCCGAACATTAAAAGCGCAAATGTATGACTTTCAACGGGCGTGCCACTGGCATGCCTCTGCACGACGTGCGACAGACTTTCACATTGTCATCCAGCGAACGTTTTGGACGGCTTGGCTCGCTCGCAACTCTGCATGGCAGCAAGCGCACCTATGTGTAAGATTGTGCAAGCATCTCCCCCCCGACAGGGTTGATGACCCAGCATAGTGCAGTATCGATACTGTGCACCACGCAAAACAAAGGCAGAGCTTCTTCCTCACAAGAAAATGGTCGCCATCACCATAGTTGCCTGCCTTCTCTATCATGTGTCTTCTCTGACTGTGCAAAGCCTCTCGGGGAGCATTGTCCCGGCCTGCCGGGGGTGTCATCCTTGAATTTCTTCCATTGTTGGGTCGTCCTGGCACGAGTGCAAATCGCAAGTAGCTGCTTGAGCCCGGCTGCTTCCGACTGCGACGTCTGTGCACGTAATGCCATACGATGGCGCTGCTTGTGCACAACACGTCACTTGTTGAATCTTGTTGACAAGCGCAGCTGTAGATACAGTACCGCCGTGCATGGAGCAGAATGAACACGGTTCAGCGCAGAGAATTCTGAACATGTCAAATGAAGAAGTAAAAGCAGGCAACTGTGTCCTTTCAAGCGGTTTCGCTCCTACGGAGAACATGTTTGCTATAGCGCAGATCAAAGCGCCGTGCAGAGGTGTTTGAGTGCGATGGTCAGAGAATAAATCCGGCATGTTGTCCTCCAGGCAAGAAGCAGTCTTCATGCCGGCTGCATTTCAAGAGTGCATGAGTCGCAACCTTTCTTGCAAGGACTTGGCCGGCATGTTTCGAGAGTTACCAGATTTCCGCCCGAGCCCAAGCTAGCTGGTTTCTGCAGCTTGCAGCTTGCAGTTCAGTCCCAAACGAGGCAATGACATTTCATCCACAGCGCTGAGACAAAAATCGCTGGACACCGTTCCAGTGCTCTAGTCGCAGTGTCCCTAATGGAAGGCCGAAACCATTGAACCCCCAGTCGAAGACACACATGCGCGAGGCGGCTATATCTTCCCCATGCTGCAATGAGATGGACAATCCAAGAACGGTGCAATCTGGCGACGGCCGCTTCAGCTGTTTATTACTCGACACGAGGATGTGTTGGAGTCTGCTTTTGTTGTCTCTTGAACTGCTTCGTGTGTGCTGCTTCTCAAGTGGCCGGCTGGTCAAACGGTGGGATTTAGCACTCTTGCTGATGCCTTTCACAGAGTTTGCCCGGCTCCACGGCTCAAGGTAGCTGCGGGTGGCAGCAGCAAATTGGATTGAGAAGGTTTCCGAAGTTTTTACACCCCTGATGCAATGTCCCTGGGCCAAGCGGTGGTCTTTGCGGATCATGTGGAAGCGCGGCAGATGGGCGAACACACCAGAGAGTTGCGCTTTCCAGAGACACTGTCCGTGCAGAGCGTCAAAGTCATCGGCCGGAGCGAGAAGGTACCAGTGCAAAGCTCTGCGGGTTTGTCCAATTTTGAAGGACGGACGTATCCAGACATTCGCATGATCGGTCTGGCGGTGTACGCGACGGATCTTCTGTCTCCCAACTCTACCATGTCAGCTTTCAAGGCAAGTTCGCCGGGAGTTTTCAACATGCCAAATAGTCAGCTACTTACAAACAGCATCGTTGTCCGGGGGAAGTTCATCAAGCTGTCCATCGTAGTTTACGGAGAAGTTCTGCCCACTGCCGACAGCCAGTCTCTGCCAGCGCTCCCAAGCATAGCCCAATATCTCCGACCTGATTCAAGCTTTGAAGGGGACAAGCTCGACATGGCAGGTCTAGAAGACATGAGGAGTAGTGCACTCAAGAGCATAGATGCAGAGCTGGATGCGGAAGGTGAGAATGGGAAGCTTTCCGATGCAACAGCCCCACCGAGCTTCGGGAGAGCATTAGGACTTGGCGGACTCGGTGCCGTGCGTGAGGCCGACGCCAGACTGGCGGATCATGTCTCCTGGCTTCCGGCAGTGTTCCAGGAAAGCGATGCCATGGAAGGTGACCAGATTGTCTCCCGCTTGGAAGCCTTGTCGCATGATATAGTTTTGCTTGCGCAGAGGGCACCCGAGAATGCAGCTCACATACACCATGGTCCCGCTTTATGCCGCTCTTTGCTCTCGCTGGTGTCTCGGTGCATGGAGAGATGGGAGCTCAGACCTCTACGAGCGACTCTTCAAGCACTTGCAACCTGTCTCGTTTCAGCGACTGCAGCTGCTGAGATATTGGGAAGGAAAGGTGACCTCGACGTTCTTGTCCAGATCTTGAAAGATGGAGAGTGGAGTCAACAGAATCTCAGGCTAGCTGCGCTCCAAGTGCTGTTGCAGCTGTGTTCGCATGCCGCTGGTATGGAGGCTTTCCTCGGGTGGTCGGACACGGTGTCCGGCCAAACTACAGCATACGAGGTTGTGCTTTCGTTGGTTCTCGATGGGACTTCCGGACAGCCGAGGCTGCAGCATGTTGCTGCAACTTTGCTGAGAAGGGCTGCCTTCTATGAAGCCTTGACAAGGCTTGATGAGAGTTGCTCTAAGCTTGAGGCTGTCGACGGTAACGAAACTCCACAAGACAGATTGCACAAGGCAGCTGCAGCAGCACTGCGTGATATCACGGTGCACCTCGAAGACTTGAGCCAGCCAACCAATGTGCAAGATGCTGAGCCTGGCAGCTCTTGGCCTTTTGATGATATCCCTGGCAGCCAGCTCGTGGATGATTCGGCTTCCAAGCTTCCGGTTGTAATCTTTGGAGGCTGTGGAACAGGAATACTGGCAAGTGATCCGTTTGCACAAGGACAGTGCCATTTGCACGGGTTCCTGGAGTCATTCATGACAGGACGACGTCTATTGCCTGGGCTTTCTGTTTTGCTCCGTCGCCTTGCCCGCGTTCACCCACATGACCGCCTGTTGCTCTTCCGACCAATCCAGCGACTGATCTGCATGCTGCTCTCTTGTTCGGGTGGTCCACAGTTTTTGGCTGCTGACAATGCTACGTACACTACTTTGCGCTCTGGCTGCAACAGGGCACCTGATTTAGGTACATTGTGAACTGAGAACCGCTAGCTAGAACTTGCAAATTTTGCCAGTTCAGCAGCTTGCGAGGCTGAATCTTCTTGAGTGCGGGGTGGCGCACAAGAAGTTGCCAGCAGTGCCGCGCTTTCCTGCAGCTCTTGTCAAAGACTTGGCCGCGCCGCACTTGGGCACCCTGGCTGCCACTCACGTGCGCGCTCTGCGACTTTCGCTTCTTCTGGTGGCTGCCACGAGGTGGGGAACACGGCCACGAGATTGGTTCTGTCTTTTGAACATGTGTTTAAATTTATTGGATTGTTTTTCCAATTCATACGCTTGAGACGCACGAGGTCCAAGGGCCGTGGCGGCCTTTTGCCAGAAGAGCATGCTTGCCCGGGGTTGGCTGCTTTGCATCGGCTTTGTGTCAGAGGTTCTGCAGGTCGCTGTGCAGTCGTACAGGCATTTCGATCGGTATTCTTTGCCGAGTGGCTTCTGCGACAAATCGAGGGACGTCTGGATGAAGCCACTCCAAGTGGAAGCCGGGCATCTCAGGTTCAACCTTCACTTCGCCATCTCGTCGCCATTCTCCATGTCTTGGTCTTATCTGACCCCTCCGGTGCTGCTGCAGAACGATTTGGAGCCAGAGTGCTGGCCTTGGTGTTGCGGGCTGTCAGGGTTTTGGAGCCAGAGGCAGACGAGTCAGCAGACCCCAGTGCTTTGCTGGAATTCGCATTGGACAGTGAAGGTGCGGAGGGTGGGCTAGGCAAGGCTGTCCGCTTTGGCCGACGCAGTGCCGACTTTGAGTTCCTGAAGAATCTCAAGGAGTTGGCCGCTCAACTGCGCCCATGGCGACAGGAAGAATCCGACGCCAACGCACAGACTTCGGTGACCAGTGCCAAGCTCATGGCAAGCCTGGTTCTCAATAGAGGTCCTCGTTCATTGAAGCGCTCGACCAACGAAGAGCGTGGAAGCAGGCGACTAGCGCTGGTCTTGGGAGGACATTCTGCAGCGAGTGGTGTGGACGTGCCAGAGGTTGACTTCAATGCTGGAGAAGAGCATGCCGACCTCGACGACCACTTGGAGCGCTATCCCAGTGAGGACCTGACAGAGCTCCCGCTGCTTGCAATGCGTGTACTTTGTCGCAGGGCAGCCAGTCCGAAAGAGGCGCTTGCTATTGTTGAAGCCGACGGCGGCAGAGATGGATTGGCTCAATTGGTTCCTTGGCTGATTCGATGTGCTGGAGCCTTCAGCCTGAACTTAGAGGCCAGCATCCTTCGAGAGGAAAAGAAGGCTATAGCTCTCATCTACGCGACACGCCGCTCACATGCTCAACTGTTAGAGGCAGCGCTGCAGACGTGTGCACACTTCCTTTGCGGGCTTAGGGATGCCGGCTTGTCTCATTACAGACACAACGAGTTGTGCCAAACACTGCTTCTGCTATCACAGCGGCTGACATCTGGATTGTTTGGACTGGCGCCTCGCGGCTTCAACAGTGATCCAGAGTTCAGGCTGTTATGGCGACACTGCATCGTGTGGGTCTGTCGTGTATTCCGGCTTTGGTTTCAGAGCTTCCCTGACGCAGCCGGAGGGCAGCTTCTGCTTCCTTTGCTCCGGCACGCGCGTGTTCTGCCGACCAATTTTGCGGGAGGCATGTTGCTTTTGGCAACATGTGGGAACCTCAAGCCAGTACTTCCTACAACATCGCATCAGTTCAGCCTCTTATTTTCCAGCTCTCAGCCTGGGGACAGCTTGCAGTCCCAGTTAGTGCTGATGCCGACTGGAACTCGCACGGGAAATGCTGGCATGGTGACCTTGCGGCCGGTGTCCCCGAGTCAGATAGCCGGTCGTGAGGCATGCGGTCAGTTTTGGAGTAGAACTTCCGAGGTGCAGGACTGGGAGGATGCTTCTCGCAGCTCTGCAGATCCATTGGTGCGAGCGCTCGCAGCGGACCGCGAGGCAGCGGCAGCTCATGCTTTAGGCTTGGTCGAGATGGTGAACCAACGCAGAGAGCGGCTGTCCCTAGACGATGTTGCGGAGCTTCTGGCAATGGCTGCTGAGTGTGCTCTGACGTCGGATGCTTTTCTTCATCTTTGTACTGCAAGAGTATTGGAAAAGCTGACGGTCGCTGGACTGCCCGTGCTGGTGCTTATTCGAAGACTGGCGGAGGCCGCTCTAAATGGTGTTGTCCTGGAATCAGAAGGCAGTGATGACATCAGTGGCGGCGCAGCTCGTGATCCGCGCGATGCTCGTGCTGTTTCGCGCCTGCTGCTGCTGCTGGCGCATTTCGGATCGCTGGGCCCTGCTGCCAGAATGGCTCTGACAGAGCATCAAATAGAGACACTTTGCCAGTCAGTCCTTGCGCATGCACCTGCCACCTCTTTGCCTCCAATGGCATTCTCCCAGTCCATCAGGCTGCTGGCCTTGATGTTTGCCTCACCATCATTCCACTCCGTGCCGAAATGCAGAATGGTCGCCAAAGCCGTGAATCTCTTGATCAACAAAGGTCCCGACGAAGGCTCTCCTGCAGGTGTCTCGACTATATGCGCTGCATTGGAGCTTCTGTTAGGCCTCTGCACGCCGCAATGGCTTTGCCTCAGCTTGATTTTCAGCGTTGGGGATGAATGTAATGGAGAAGTGCGGGTGAGTGTAAGCAGTGCCTTCAAGCTGAGACATTGTGCACAGAGGATTGCCATGGAACTCCAGGTCTGTTGCCAGCATTGCCGCTCAGCAGAGAGAGGGTCCGAAGAGGAGGTCGCAGCTCTTGAGGAACTCGCCAGCTGGCTCCGAGCTGCAGATTCCATTATCTCACTGTCGCGAGTGGTTGTTGGCCACTGTCCCTCTGCAACCGTCTTCCTTCAGGTTGTTGCTGGGGCTAGTTCGCCGCAGAGCTTGCTCGAAGACCTCTTGCTTGCTCTGCAGCATGCACCGAATAGTCCCGACATCCACGAGCAGGTTGGCAGCAGCATGAAAGCCGTCCAGCACCTGCGGGAGGAGGCATCTGCAAAGTCACTAGATCCGCTCCCCTCAGTGCTCCCTGCTCGATTGTTCGAGCAGCCTGCAAGGGCAGGACGGAGCTCAAATTCAGCACAAGAAACCACAGCAGAAGCTTCCTTGAACGGCACTTCCAATGCAACAAGGAAAGACTACCCGGATGAAAATGCACATGCAATGGCAGACGTGGTTGCCTTGCTCGATGCAGCAGCTGATCTTGATGCCAGTGCAGAATGGGCTTCCGTCGTTGAGCTTGACTCCGCGGAACCTCCCGGGGATGATGCGAAAATGGACTGGGAGTTTGATGCTGCAGCCTTGAAGCGGAAGCGGCAGGACTTCCTCGAGAAGTTCGAGTCTGACCGGAAGGCAAAGCGTCTGAAACAGCAGCAAGAGAAGCAGCTACAGGAAAAGCAGTGGCTCGAGCGTGCAGAAGAGCGCTCTTCGGCTCCAGGTGCCACGGGCCGCTCGGACCCCGATCCATCCGATGCAGCCCGGGAGGAGACTCGGGTTGCAGAAGCTTCGGCTCCTGAAGGACGTCAAGCCGAGGATCAAGCCGTGAATCCGGCAGAGGCCCTGCAATCTTTCTTGAAAGATCACCCCGAGTTTATGCGGGTCTTGCAAAACCCGAAAAAATGCCTGGCTGATCCCCGCGTGAAGACTATGTTCGTGACCGAGCTGCAAAACTATCCGGCTGTGAAGTCCTTTCTCGCTGCGAGGGGGCTCCAGTTGTCGTGACGATGGACCGAAAGCGTATGAAAATAGTTTTGCAGTGCAGCTGCAGCCGACGCAGGGGTGGCTTTGAGTCTTAGGAGAGGTATCGTCCTGCATGGCCATGATCCATCCTGCCAGGTGTACGTGAGAGCTCAGCCTCAGACGGCGTGATGTCTCGAGGTTAGAACGCGGGATATGTTGAGCCCTACGGCCTACTGTAGACACTGGAGCTCTGGATTCAGGACGTCCCCCGAATGGATGAGCTCACGTTTTTCACGACTGGTGCAAGGCAAAAGCCGCAAGCTGATAGTTCTGAAAGAGCTGTGTAACTTGTGAAGCTAGCTCTGTCAACGAGAAAGGACATCTTGCACTTGCGCTCGATCGTGTCTGCTCGTCTTCTCAAAGCATCGAGTCGAGAATCTAAACTGCACTGCGAGCAGGCTTCTACAATCTGGATATCTTGCGGCAAATCTAGACATGACAGCTTCTACACGCGAGTCATGCTCGCACCAAAGGTTTTTCAATGGTACAGCGAGATTCAACGCCGCTGATGTAGACTGGATCCGAGGGAGCTCGCGAACAGGCGGAAACTCTGCAGCCTGCAGACTTACGTGAACGTCAGGTTCAGTCGAGTCGTAGCTGGTGTCGTCCGGCAGGTCAGCATGTGCAGCTTTCTGGTGACATCTTGGCTTATATCGAATCTTACGGACCCGAGACTCAGGTAAAGTGCAATCTTGTCAATGAGGGGAGCTGCTGAAGTTGCCTGTAAGGCGGTGAACTATTTCCTACTTCCTAGAGGACCTGACGGCTTGGGCCGCAGCGTTGTGATACAGGTCGCAAGGTCAGGTGAGATTTCTCTTGCCTTTGGCAGGCAAGTGAAGCCTGGTACCAAGGAACACAGACTCTCCGAAAGGGTCCATTTGTGTTCGTGCACAATCTCCTTCACATGTCACACCCTCAGGTGGGAATGTGCCCAGCACCGTGCCTTCCATGGTTTTGTGATTTTGCAAGGACCGGCGAACGCGTGTGGCAGCCGTTCGTGCAGGAGAAGGAGCGGAAGATTATAGAGATGTCGCTCTGCGTCCTCTTTCTGCTTGATGATTGAAACAAGCCCCAGGTGGTAGCCGTGTATAACGGCGAGATCTACAACGCCCGGCAGGCATTCAGATGCGACGCTCAAGGAAGCTTAGATGTGCTTCGGCATGCCAGTCATGCAGATCCTGCCAGGTTCCGCAGGGTTTTGAGGATCGACATCTGTATCGGTCAGACGGCGAGTCAGCTCCCAAGACTCTACGCAGGCATTTCAAAACGCTGAGTCCAGCACACCTGCCTGAGCGAGACAGGTGCTTGCTGCCAGCATATTTGCATCTGGGACCTCATTTTCCTCAAACCTTGGATGGCGTGTGAGTCTCAGGAAAAGAGTGAGTTTGTGTCTGGCGAGCCCGACAGTATAGCACAGGTAAACGAACAGATGGCCTTTGCACCGTTGCCGACTCCAGCTCAGGAGTTTGCGCTTGTGGTTGTGGATCTGGACAGCCAAGCCCTCGACTCAGCACTGCAGTGGCGGAGATGAAAACACGAGTCCGCTCGTGTTTTCTCGTGTAGGATGTGGGCTGTCCCAGTCTCCGTAATCTGCAAACTGGCGTTGACACCGGCAAAGGCTCTACAGGTGCTTGTTGTCAAGCGTCAAGCACGAAGAACGCAAACGTTACGCCTGCCTCGCTGCGCAACAGCTCTTGTAGACATGGGCGGTCACTCGGCAGATCCCTAGACAGATGATGATCTTCTTCTCAGTCTCAGTATCACCAATACTCTTATGTGACAGATTGAGTGCTGCGCAGATGCTGCCTAGCGCTGCTGCGGGCCAGCTGTTGTCGAAAAGAGCCGACCAATCTGTTTGCACGAGGGCGGTTCAGAAGCCCCGGGCATAGCGAGTCGTGCACCATTATCATGACCCCGGCTCTCTGCTCTTCATGGGTGCCGGAGCTGACAACATGCCAGTGTGCCTTACTGAACTGCCAGCTACCTCTCCGGTGAGTCTCCTGGACCAAGACAATTTTCACATCAGAGTACGCTTCCGTCACGAGTTGGGAGAGTAACTCTTCCCAGACTGCTGTTGTCAGCGATCCCGCGTTCCAAGAAAGATATCTTATTTCTTCATGTTCCCGGTTGCTGGGAGGCTTTGACCGTTTGGGTCGCTCAGTGTTGGAAGTAGCCGGAGTTCCTCCTAGCTCAGTAAAAGTTTCCCTTGTAGTAGGCAATTCCGTTCTTCTCTGCTTGTCTCAAGGCCTTCTGGTAGGACCGTTTGCCTGCCCCTTTGGGGTGCTTGGGTCGATTACTGGTTGAGTCGTGGTGCTGTTTCGTCATGCTCATGTTGAACACAACTCCTGTCGACTTCGCTGGCTGGTCGACAACCCTCACCTCTGGAAGCAGAGTATGCGCTGTTGCCAACGCGTGCTTCCCTCCGGACTTGGGACCGGAGCAGCTCAGGCTCTGACAATTGCTGCCATGGCGAGCGAGGAAGTGGCGGACTGTTATTGCCTGACCTCGCCTGAGCTCAGAGGCTTACAGCAGCAGCAACAGCAGCAGCAACAGCAACAGCAACAGCAACAGCAACAGCAACAGCAACAGCAACAGCAACAGCAACAGCAACAGCAACAGCAACAGCAACAGCAAACAGCAACAGCAACAGCAACA